AGGCTACTCAGCGGTCGTCACAGGGTTACACCTTCAGCCTTGGCTCTGGTTCAGTTTCTTGGCGTTCTACTCGCTCGTCTTCAGTTCTTAGCTCCAGTTGTGAGGCTGAGATCTACACCACAGCCATGGCTGCACAGGAGTTACGCTGGCTGACCTACCTGCTGACCGACTTGGGAGAGCGGCCTAGTTCTCCTCCAGTGCTGTACATCGACAACAAGGCTGCCATTGCCTTGTGTTAGGAGCACAGACTGGAGCACAGAACGAAGCACATCGCTCTCCGGTACTTCCTGGCTCGAGAGCTGCAGCAGCGTGGTCAGCTTTGTCTGCGCTACGTGGCCACTCGGGCCAACACCGCTGATTCATTCACCAAGGCACTTCAGCCTGGTGATCATCAGCGCTTCTGCACTGTACTGGGGCTTGTGCCCACTGTTCCTCACTTACTGTAGGCTTTGTATGTACTGTGATCTCTACATATATATACCTGCTTGTTTGTTTTGTTAGGTTGAGATCACCTTGCTGTTTGTGTTGTATATATGCCTCTGCATTTGAACTGGCCCTGTGGCCCTTTGCTTGTGCTCAGATTGTGTGGTGACGTTGTGATCCACCCTGAGCTTGCTTTGCCTTTCTTGACTGTTCTTGTGACCCCTTGCTCTCCCCCACTTTGCCTATGGGGGTGTGTGAAACATTATCTATATGTTATTGTTGTGTAGGCTATAGTGGGTTAGCCTTTAGGGGGTACACAACTCTAGGGTTTCATACTTGTACTCCAATCTTTCATAGTTCAATCACTTCTTGTTTCTGACAGACATTGCAAGAGTCGCCTGCATATATGGAGGTCATATTTAGAAGGTGGAAGAGTGTAATGAATATAGACTTCATTACTGTAGTCTGCCCTTAGCGGGGATGCCCAGAAGGCATCACGCTAGTTGGGTTCCGCCAACACTTTCTGCCCGAACCACTTCCGAGTCGCCCTTGCACCAATCACCACAATCCCAAGCCTCACATCTCTTGAGGCCCTCGCCTAGCCAGGGTTCGCCATATTTTTGCTCATCTCTTTCATTGTACTTGGATTTGGTTAGTCACAGTTGTCAGAATCCCAACCACTAGACCATTGGGATAAAAGGGCTTGTTAAGTAGCGGGTTAGTGCGCCCATAACCCCCCAGGACAACGAGCCTGTAACCCTTCCCTAGGATCAATCGGGGATCACCAGTGGACCTCTGACACCCCCCCGCACTGGGATGCCCGAAGTGCACACATTGGGATTCGAACCCGAAACCTTCGCTCTGATAACATGTCAGAATCCCAACCACTAGACCATTGGGATAAAAGGGCTTGTTAAGTAGCGGGTTAGAGCGCCCATAACCCCCCAGGACAACGAGCCTGTAACCCTTCCCTAGGATCAATCGGGGATCACCAGTGGACCTCTGACAACAGTCTCGTTATTTAAGTCTTCCGCGCAACTCATAACAATTTTCCCTTGTGAAGCGAGTTATCAAACGCATGAAGCGAGTTATCAAACGCATGAAGCGAGTTACCAAACGTGTGAAAACTCAATGTAGTGGTTACCGTACGCAATTTAATTCTTAGAAGGAAAACTCCTAATTCCATACTGGGTCATTCCGTACAAGTACAATTCCAACTTTCGGAAGGCCAGGCTCGGTCCGATGACCTTGCCTCCCGAACGTACTCCGCGTTGCCTTCGGGTTCAACAATCCCGAACCAGCACACGGCCTTCGCAATCCCGCGGACCACGCCTAGCTAGCCTTTCACTATATCTGTGCAAGGCTTCATTATTTCATCAATAGTCGTATTCACTTCCTCGTTGTTAAATCATGCACACTCTCTTCTTTGACAACTTATAACACTTGGTATCAGAGCTACGTTCCTATGTTACCCTCGTTTTCCCAGGGTAGTTTGTGAAAGCTGAGTGTTGGACTTGGTGGGCTGCGAAGTGGTCGGCTTGTGAAATAGATACGATTATTTCACTCTGACTATGTTAGAGTTCGCGTCTTCATCAAAGCCATAAAAAAATCGCAAATATCCCCAAGCCCATTCGACAAATCCTAAGAAACATGGACCAGGCGGAGCTGAACGAAGTGATGCAACCGTTTTAGGCGATACAAGCCAACATGCAGACACTATCCATGGAGGTCGAGCGCCTGAGGGAAGAAAACGCCGAGCTACGTCAGGCGCGTGGTGAAGCGTGCCCCAAGTCGCCCGTCATGGACGAAGCAAGTGGAAGCACCACACCGAACGAGGCTGTCTTCAGTAAGCTCGAAGGTTCGATGGACGCTGTAGAAGTTACGAAGTCATTACAGTCAAAAACTACAACAAAACCGGCTTTAGTAACAGCAACAGTACCTGCGGCAACGTCAGAACAACTGTCAAGATAAAGCCGACAAACCTACCCCCATTTGACCCGGGTGACAAGTTCGTCACTGTTTCAGAATGGTTGTTCGGCGTGGAGGTGTTCTTTAGTGCTGCTCAAGTAAACGATGATACCACCCGCATTGCTTTTGTAGTCTTACTGTTGCACAGAGCTCCGTTGGAATGGTGGCGATGCACGCTGCAATTTGAGAGGACTTCGCCAGGACGACACGTACGAACAACGGGGCTTCAGCACCTGTCATGCAACGAACCACATCAATCTTCTAACTGGCTACGATACATGCATAGAAGGAGCGAGGTGTTAGAATACTGACCGAATGAGTGACTGAACTAGCAAGCAAGTGGGTACAAGTAGGAAACCTAAAAGTGTTGTACCCTATAAGAACTACCCCACTACAGCCTAGATAGACTATAGCATACATGTTTGACACACCCCCATAGGCAACGTGGGGGAGAACAAGAGGACACAAGACCAGTCAAGAAAGGCAAAGCAAGCTCAGGGTGGATCACAAAGTCACCACGCAGTCTGAGCACAAGCAAATGGCCACAAGGCCAGTTCACATGCAGAGTTATATAAAGAAAACAAACAATACAGTGAACACAACCTAGCAAGTGTAAGCATGCAGCTATATGTATATAGAGTACAGTACAAGCAGAGTCAAGAAGTAAGCGAGGCACAGTAGGAACAAGGCCTAGAACAGTACAGAAACGCTGATGATCACAAGGCTGGAGTGCCTTGGTGAAAACATCAGCAGTGTTGGCCTGTGAGGCCACGTAAGCAAGACGAAGCTGGCCACGCTGCTGCAACTCTCGAGCAAGGAAGTAGCGCAGAGAAATGTGCTTCATTCTGTGCTCCAGTCTGTGCTCCTGACACAAGGCAAGCATGGCCTTGTTGTCGACGTACAGAACTGGAGGAGAACGAGGTGCCTCTCCCAAGTCGGTCAGCAGGTAGGTGAGCCAGCGTAACTCCTGTGCAGCCATGGCCCCAGCGTAGATCTCAGCCTCACAACTGGAGCTGAGAACAGAAGACGAGCGGGTAGACCGCCAAGAGACAGAACCGGAGCCAAGGCTGAAGGTGTAACCCTGTGACGACCGCTGCGTAGCCAAGTCGTCAACCCAGGAGGCATCTGCGTGACCAGTGAGGACAACTCGAGCCCGTCCTCCAAGCACGAGCCCCGTGCCCGACGTACTGCACAATTAGCGCAACACCCTCTTCGCAGCATCCCACTGCACCTTTCGGTGCCTACCGGGAGCCACGTAGCGAGCCAGAAGGCTGAGAGGGTATGCGAGGTCAGGTCATGTGCAAGTCATCAGGTACATGAGGCAGCCCACAAGCTCTGGATACGGGCAACTCGGCTCTACGGACTCGTCCGAAGGTGGAGCTGAGAGCGAGTGACCGGTAGGCAGAGGAGTGGACTGTGGCGAGGAGTATGTGAAGCCGAAGCGCTGAAGGACCTGCTGCACCATGTGTGACTGAGTCAAGGTAATGGTGCGCTGTGCTTTGTCCCGGGTGATCCGCAAGCCAAGATAGCTTGTGAGCTCACCCAGGTCTGTGCACGTGTGTCTCTTCTGCAGCTCGGACTTCACGTGGGCGAGTGCCTCAGTGTCAGCAGTAGCAAAGACCAAGTCGTCTACGTACACGAGAACGTAGAACGGCGGCAGAGTGGTGTGAGTGCGTAAAAACAGCGATGGGTCAGCAGTGGAAGGAGCAAAACCAAGAGCAGCAAGAGTCATCCTCAGTGTGTCGTGCCACTCACGGGGTGCCTGGTGGAGACCGTAGACTGGCCGCCGGAGGCTCCACTGGGTACCAGCAGGAAACGACCCAGTGAAGCCAGGTGGGCGGCGCAGCTAGATCTCCTTGTGCAGGCTGCCCTGTAGGAAGGCTGTGCTGAAGTCAAGCGAGTGGAGCTCGTAGTCACGCTGAGCGGCGACGTGCAGCAGTACCCGAAGAGTGGTCATCTTCGGGGTAGGGGAGAAGGTCTGGAAGAAGTCAACTCCCTGACGCTGACTGAAGCCACGTGCAACGTAACGCGCCTTGAAGACAGGCGGAGAACTCGGCGGCCGCTTCACCCTGAAGATCCACATGCCACTGACGATGTTCGCCCCAGGTGGGGGAACCTCGTCGACGTAGGTGCCTGTGGACTTCCAGGAAGCCATCTCGGCGTTCATGGCTGCCTGCCACTGAGAGGAGTAGGGACCCTCTATCGCCTCTGCGTAAGAGCGCGGGGTCGGGATGTCTGGTGCATCCGGGTCTCCCTCAGGGGCAAGCAGCATGGACACGAGATGATGTACAGCAGCGGCAAAGTACTCAAACTCCTCCTGTCTGTCCTCAAGAACGTCTGTGCCAAGAGCACACTCACCCACGACGAACGGAGGACAGACAGACGCAGACGCAGACTCAGCAACAAGACTAGTGGCGAAGTCTAGGCAACAGGCAGCAGCAAAGTCAACAGGCTCAGCAACGAGAGCAGACGCAGCAGTGGACTCAAACAAAGGGTCAGTGACAACAGTGGCCAGAAAGCACGTGACAGTAGGACTAGCAGCACGAAGGGAGTCAGACTCCGGGTCCGGACCGTCAGGAAGAGAGGACGCAAGAGGAGACGGCAGAGGGTCACGCTGTGGAGCAGTGGAAGGACGCAGTGTCATAGAGTGGGTGCCAGGGACAGGAGGAGGACGCGGACGCGAAACACGACGACCAGCGCGAACAGTGCGGACAGGCAACGCAAAACGAAACTCAGGTGACGCAGGACGAGACTCAGGCGACACAGGACGCGACTCAGGCTCACGACGCTCCGTAAGACCTCTAGTCGGACCAGAGTAAGGAGAAGGACCAGGCAATGGAGTGGACTGTGGCGAGGAGTATGTGAAGCCGAAGCGCTGAAGGACCTGCTGCACCATGTGTGACTGGGTCAAGGTAATGGTGTGCTGTGCTTTGTCCCGGGTGATCCGCAAGCCAAGATAGCTTGTGAGCTCACCCAGGTCTGTGCACGTGTGTCTCTTCTGCAGCTCAGACTTCACGTGGGCGAGTGCCTCAGTGTCAGCAGTAGCAAAGACCAAGTCGTCTACGTACACGAGAACGTAGAACGGCGGCAGAGTGGTGTGAGTGCGTAAAAACAGCGATGGGTCAGCAGTGGAAGGAGCAAAACCAAGAGCAGCAAGAGTCATCCTCAGTGTGTCGTGCCACTCACGGGGTGCCTGGTGGAGACCGTAGACTGGCCGCCGGAGGCTCCACTGGGTACCAGCAGGAAACGACCCAGTGAAGCCAGGTGGGCGGCGCAGCCAGATCTCCTTGTGCAGGCTGCCCTGTAGGAAGGCTGTGCTGAAGTCAAGCGAGTGGAGCTCGTAGTCACGCTGAGCGGCGACGAGCAGCAGTCCCCGAAGAGTGGTCATCTTCGGGGTAGGGGAGAAGGTCTGGAAGAAGTCAACTCCCTGACGCTGACTGAAGCCACGTGCAACGTAACGCGCCTTGAAGACAGGCGGAGAACCCGGCGGCCGCTTCACCCTGAAGATCCACATGCCACTGACGATGTTCGCCCCAGGTGGGGGAACCTCGTCGACGTAGGTGCCTGTGGACTTCCAGGAAGCCATCTTGGCGTCCATGGCTGCCTGCCACTGAGAGGAGTAGGGACCCTCTATCGCCTCTGCGTAAGAGCGCGGGGTCGGGATGTCTGGTGCATCCGGGTCTCCCTCAGGGGCAAGCAGCATGGACACGAGATGATGTACAGCAGCGGCAAAGTACTCAAACTCCTCCTGTCTGTCCTCAAGAACGTCTGTGCCAAGAGCACACTCACCCACGACGAACGGAGGACAGACAGACGCAGACGCAGACTCAGCAACAAGACTAGTGGCGAAGTCTAGGCGACAGGCAGCAGCAAAGTCAACAAGCTCAGCAACGAGAGCAGACGCAGCAGTGGACTCAAACAAAGGGTCAGTGACAACAGTGGCCAGAAAGCGCGTGACAGTAGGACTAGCAGCACGAAGGGAGTCAGACTCCGGGTCCGGACCGTCAGGAAGAGAGGACGCAAGAGGAGACGGCAGAGGGTCACGCTGTGGAGCAGTGGAAGGACGCAGTGTCATAGAGTGGGTGCCAGGACAGGAGGAGGACGCGGACGCGAATCACGACGACCAGCGCGAACAGTGCGGACAGGCAACGCAAAACGAAACTCAGGTGACGCAGGACGAGACTCAGGCGACACAGGACGCGACTCAGGCTCACGACGCTCCGTAAGACCTCTAGTCGGACCAGAGTAAGGAGAAGGACCAGGCAGTGGAGAGGTCGGCTGTAACTGCGACTGTGACTGGACAGGCGGTGGACTCCGTAAAGGAGGAGTAGGACCAGGAGAAGGCAAGAGACCAAGAACCTGCTGAAGGAGCGGAACGTAGTACGGCCGCGGCCGCGCAGCGCCTCCAGAAACAGCAGAGACAGCACCAGTACCCTCAGCTCCAGGGTCTCGAGCTACAACTCCCGCAGCACCACCAGGTCCAGTACCTCTAGCAGCTCTAGCTCCAGAAGCACCTCCAGGAGCAACAGCTCTAGCAGCTGCAGCTCCAACTCCTGCAGCACCACCAGCCCCAGCAGCTCTAGTACCTCCAGTACGAGCACCTCCAGGACCAGCCGCTCCAGCACCTCCAGGATCTCCAACACCAGCAGGACCTCCAACAGCACCAGCACCTCCAGTAGCACCTCCAGCAACTCCAGCACCAGCAGCACCTCCAGCAGCTCCAGCACCAGGAGCACCTCCAGCAGCTCCAGCAGCACCAGCAGCACCAGCAGTACCGCGACAGCGCCGAGCGTACCACTCACGAAGCTGCTGCGAAGAGAGGGGCTCCCGCCGCGACGGGACACCCGGAGGACCTCCAGACTCAGCACGCTCAGGCTCAGCACCCCCAGGCTCAGCACTCCCACACTCAACACCCCCAGGCTCAGCACCCCCAGGCTCTGCACCCTCAGACACAGCAACCCCAGGCTCAGCACCCCCAGCCCTCGCACCCGCAGGCTCAGCACCCCGAGCAGCACCTGAGTCGACAGCTACCTGGGACACACCTGAGGGGGCAGGACCCTGAGGGGGGAGGGGGTCTACCGGAGGAGTACCTGGTGCTAAGAAGAGTGGCGGGGGGGGGAGAGAGGCAGTGCGGTAAGGAAAGAGACGGTAGTAAGACACTGACTCGTCAAACGTGACGTCCTGAGAGGATAGAACACGACGCGAGGTGGGGTGGTAGAACTGCCACCCGGGTGCGTCAGGGGGGAAGCCAAGGAAGACACATGGAACGGCACGGGAGGACAGTTTGTCCGCTGAAGTATCGCGGACAAAAGCTCGAGATCCCCAGACACGGAACACAGACGCATCGCCAACCTTCCCCGTCCACCGCAGAGTAGGTGTGGTCTCCGGCAAGGAGACACGAGGCTGAAGGTTGATCTGATGCGCAGCGTACTGAACCACGAACGGCCACAGAAAATGGGGAGCAGCCGCATGGATCATGGACGTACAAGCGACGTCCATGACCATGCCAATGCGGCGCTCAGCAATCCTATTTTGCTGTGGGGAGGCCGGAAGCGTGAACGTCTGGCGGATGCCCTCAGCACGACAGAAGGCCCTCAGGTACGAGCAGGCCCCAGAGGAAGGGGAGGGAGGGACCGGGGGAGACCCGAGACAAGGGTACGAGAGGCCATACCTCGAAGACGAGGTAGGGAGGGGTGACCAAGGCGGTGGTGCCAAAGGAGAGTCTCGTGCGACAGAGGACGACACGAGCAGGGGGCAGACTCTGGACTAGACCTGGACGCGGCAGCAAACACCTGACTAGACGCGGCTACCTGACCAGACGCAGCGACCGGAGGAGACGCAGTAGTCAGTGTGTACAGACTCGACCCTGGCCGGCGGGTGAACGTGGCCAGGTGGCGGCCCGTCCGAGAGCAAGTGCAGTGGGTCACACGCTGACCTCCAGGGGTGAACTGGTCAACCCACGCGTCCTGGAGGTCAGCTCCACTCACGAAGTTCGTAGAGAACGAGGGGAGGTGGAGTCCTGACAGCAAGCCCGACGGGGCCGCAGGACACGATAGAACCATGGAAGAGTGCGCCCCCAGAGGGGTCAGCCAGGGAGACTGCGACAGGCCGACTGAGCGGCGTGAGTGTGGTGCTATCGCGAATGAAGGAGCGCGAAGCACCAGAGTCAAGTGTGAAAGTGTGCAAGGCCTCAGTAGGTGCAGTACTAGAGAGAGCAGACTCACCAGCACCTGGAGCAGCAGACTCACTACTACCTGGAGCAGCAGACGCACTAGCACCTAGAGCAGCAGCCTCAATGCCCGGGTCGGGCGGAACACACAGGTAACAGTCACCCTCAGCACTATCAGTCACATCATACATGGCAGCAAGGATAGCATCGAAATCAAGATCAAAGATAGCCACATTCTGCATAAGCAGATCACCCTAGCGAGGGAGCTCAACAGCGTCAGGAAACTGGGCGCGCCAGGCGTCAGTCAGGCGACCGAAGCAATGCTGCGCAGTGTGTGGCAGCTCGCACGTCTCCCCACGACGCCCGCCGGTGCGAAGAACGTAAGTGCAGGGACCTCCCCCAGACCTCCCACGCCCAGCGTACCACTCACGAAGCCGATGGGGTCTCACGGGAACGCGGCTGCTGCTGGCGCTGGCTACCACCAAAGCCTCCACGCTGCGCGGCTGCACCTCGACCAGCACCACCGCCGCCGCCACCTCCACCACCGCTGCCGCTGCCTCCACCGCCGCTGCCGCTGCCTCCACCACCCCCACTGCCGCCACCGAAGCCCCCACTCCCGCCACCACCCCCACCTCCACCGCCACCCCCCCCGCCTCCTCCACCGCCTCCACCGCCGCCCCCACCGTCCCCTCCACCACCCTTACCCCCCTTGCCCTTGCTGGTGCGGCGCCTCCCGCTAGGAGTAGACGCAGCCCCGGCCTCCTCAGTGCCAACGAGGTCGACTGCAGCAGCAGAAGAAACAGAGGGGAGAAGGGGGACAGGGGAACACCCCTCAAAGAAAGGGGTGCGACGGTCGCCGCGAGAAGCACCGACAGCTAAGATACTCTTCTCAGCCGCAGTGAGGCGCTCCTCTACCAGGTCGACAGTGAGCTCGGTGGGGCAAAGGGAGAGAAAGTGGTCCCTGACTAACGCAAGGGAGTCACGGAGTCGGGTGACTAGGTGAGTAAAGGGTGATGTACATGGGGGGGGGGGTTCTTGGCACAGAACTCAGTGGGAAGCGCAGCGCGGTAGCGGGTGTCACTAGTGCGGAGGTGGCTAATGAGGTCAGCGACTGTGGCAAAGGCGGTAAGGTCAGGGAAAAGGTACGGCAGCATGAGGCGGCTGAGAGCAGCAGTGGCAGGGGAGGAGTTGCGCGCTATGACAGCGTCGTACAAAGACTTAGCAGTCTTGTACTGGCCAAAATGTGCGCGCTCAGTAGACGGCAGGTGACTACGAACAGCAAGGCAAGCAACAGCGTCATGAGTGGTCCACAGCGAGCGAACCGTACTGTCAGCAGTGGCAGCAGGTGCAGTAGAGACACCGGACGTGTGATCGAAAAGGGATACCCCATCCCTAGAGTCACACTGAAGAAAGAGCTGCAGGTCGTCAACCCACACGTCAAAGTCAACTGCACGCCCCTCAGCATCAAAGGTGAGAACAGTAGGGCTAGCCATAGCAGCAGTAGCAGCAGTAGCAGCAGTAGCAGCAGTAGCAGCAGTGGCAGCAGAAGCAGTGCAAGCAGAAGGGCAGCGCGGCTCGGCAGTGCGGTGCGGCTCGGCTGGGCGGCGCGGCTTGGTGGGGCGGCGCGACTCGGCTGGGCGGTGCGACTCGGCAGGGAGGCGCGGCTCGGTTCCAGGCGGCGCGGCGCGGCAGGGCAGTTCGGGTGCTTACCAGGGGCGGGTGCAGGGCAGGGCCACAGCTGGCGGTTTAGGTCAGGGCCGCGACCGGGGCGGCAGTAGGGCAGGGCCGCAATAGGGCGGCTGCAGGGCAGAGGCCGCGACGGGCGGCGAAGGCAGGGCCGCGACTGGGGCGGCAGCAAGGCAGGGCCGCGCTAGGGGGCGGCTGCAGGGCAGGTGCTGCGACGGGCGCCGAAGGCAGGGCCGCGACAGTGGGCGGCTGCAGGGCAGGGCCGCGACAGGGGGCGGCTGCAGGGCAGGGACCGCGACGGGCGGCGAAGGCAGGGCCGCGACTGGGGCGGCAGCAGGGCAGGGGCCGCGACAGGGCGGCTGCAGGGCAGAGGCCGCGACGGGCGGCGAACGGGCCGACGACGGGCGGCAAAGGGGCCGGGACGGGCCGAGATGGGCCGGGATGGGCCGGGTCGGGCCTAGACGGGCCGGGACGGGCCAGCGACAGGCGGCGAAGGGCAGCACGGGGCTGCAGTGGGCGGCTAAGGCAGGGCCGCGACGCGTGGCGACGGGCCAGCGACGGGCAGCTACGGGCCGGGACGGGCCGGCTGAGGCAGGGCCGCGACGGGACAGCTAAGGAAGGGCGCGCGACGGCGCAGGTAAGGCAGGCGCGAGGCGCGCTTCGGGCAGGGCAGGAAAAAAAAAGTTCGTGGTGGGCCCTAAAAAAACGTTCCCACGAGGGAACCTGCTCAGAATACTATGTTAGAATACTGACCGAATGAGTGACTGAACTAGCTAGCAAGTGGGTACAACTTGGAAACCTAAAATGTTGTACCCCTATAAGAACTACCCCACTACAGCCTAGATAGACTATAGCATATATGTTTGACACGAGGCGCCGCCTTGCGAGCTAGGTTCGAGCATGTTGCGGAGAATCACTCTACATCAAAAAACCCCGACTAACATCTTGCCATGGATGCTCTCGTATGGGTAGAGGCTGAAGGAATCGTGTATTTTTCTGCTTGCTACTCTTCATCCGCTGGCACGTGTCGCACGAGGTCACGATCTGCTGCACGTCTGTTGCCATCCGAGGCTAGTTGTAATACTTTGCTAGGCCGACAAGGGTTTTGTTTTCTTTTGCATTGTCCCACATAATATACGTCGTGAAACTCCTTCAATAAGATCTGTCGGAGTGGAGTGTAGTTCGGAACCCAAATATTTCCGGAGCCCTTCCTGTCAGAACACTAAGCACCTAGGAAACTAGGTGTAGGCTTAGGAGGCATAGGAGCCATGCTAGGTTTGAGTGTCGAGAGAGTTTGGGTGAGGAAAATCGAGAAGGAAGTGTGCAATAATGAGAAACAGTACAAGGATATAGGCAAGAACCAAGAATGGTGCGCCCCCAACAGTTTATGATAGCTACACTAAACTACAGCTACAGGCAGTTACATATATATATTCCAACACACCCCTATAACTGCTTGTAGCAGGAGTTTGTGCAGAGTAAAGCAGCAGTAGGCAAGAGCAGTGACAATCGGTGCAGTGGTGGCATATTCAGCTGCAACAACCCCTCAGCCAAGATAGAAGCAAGCAAAAGAATAAGGTGCATGTGGCGGCAGGTCGCCTGGAGAGCAGATGCTTGTGGCGGCAGCGTGCGTCGGCACAGCAGGGCTCAATGGCAGCACCTGCCGCTCAACAGTAGCAGACAGCAGAAGTGACAGCAGGTGGAGGCAGGGGCGGCAGTTGGAGGTGGAGGTGCCACAGTAGCAGTGGGCGGCAGCTGCAGATGCCTGGCTGGCTCCTACACTGCCCCCCCAGCCCCCCTTTCTCCTCCATCCCCCTGCTGCGCGTGCAGCAGTGGGGGGGAGGGTATGGGGTTGGCGGGTGTGAGTAGTCAGCCGCCCACCACCTCCTCCTCTCTCTCCCTGCCGCACTTGTCGCTGTGTAGGGAGGAGGGGGGGAGCTTGGAGGTTAAGGGGGTGGCAGGGAGGGATCTGCAGCACCAGCCCCCCCGCCCCCCCTTTCTCCTCCATCCCCCTGCTGCGGGTGCAGCAGTGGGGGGGAGGGGATATGCAGCACCAGCCCCCCCCCCCCCGCCCCCCCCCCTTCTCCCCCATCCCTCTGCTGCGGGTGCA